AGTCCAAGTGGCTGGGGAATTCCTTCCCTCCCCGTCCCATCCCAAATCCTCATCCTGACCCCCTTCCAAGGGCTATATAGTCGTAATGGCTTGGCGCGTTCCCCTCATAGCGCTCTCTCTATTGGTTAGTAGTTTCAAAGCGTTATATGACAAAGAGTGCTGGGAAGACGGGACACCACGAGCGTAGCTCTCATCCTGTAACTACACTTAGGTAATTACACTTAGGTAATTACACACACACACACACACACACACACACACACAAGTGCTGGGAGTGGACAAAGCACCAACCCTAACTCTGGAGGCTCATGTGAATAGAACAACGTCAGCAGCATTCTGAAGATTGGCAAAAGTCTGGACCATCATCCAGTAACATTAAGGAGACTAGAAATACGGGATCCAAGAGCTAAAGTTCAATCCTGCACACACAAATAGGTGTGTATACAAGGTTAAGAGGCGGGGTGTGAGAACAAGCAGTAACTCATCCCAGGATGACCAACTAGGTGAGTACACACAATCAATATACATATATAATACGTATATACATGGCAAAGAGGCGCCTTTGTAGCAGCTGTAAATAATATTGAGGTGACTCACCCACACCTCCTCCCCCCGCCCCACCCCTCTCACACTCCCCCATTACCCGTCGCCTCCCTCCCCCTCCTGATATCCCCCTCCCCATCCCTCCCAACATTACACCCCCCACCCATACACTATGAAACTTCCCAACCGCCGTATCTGCCCCCTCCCCTTCCTCTCCCTGGGGAACCCCCCCCCCTCCCCTCCAATACCTCTCCCCGTGTCCAGAACCCCCCCCCCCCCACTACCCCATTTACCCAGGTGCCATAACCCACCAAAACCCGGAAGACTAAACAAATTACGTCCATAATTTACATACTTATAATTACAATCAGTCGGGAAATGAGACGAAAAATTAGTTAATTATTTAATGCATTATTCAATTAATGTATTCAATTATTAGTTAATAATTAAAAATGGCCAGTGTTTGTTCACACATTATATTTTCAGGAGTGTGCTCTTGTGTTGATTCCGTATTGCAGCGTTTTGTTGACCGTCGAGCGTCCGTGTGTGTGTGTGTGTGTACTCACCTAGTTGTGCTTACTGGGGTTGACCTTCTGCCCTTTGGCCCCGCCTCTCATATGTGTATCAACTGGTGTACAGGTTCCTGAGCCTATTGGACTCTATCATATTAACATTTGAAATTCTGTTTTGGAGTCAGCCTCCACCGTTCCTTGAGTTCATGCTTCATCTGGAGGATGACTGCAACATGCATTTTGTTGAATACGAGCTAGACTCTGCTCGACATAAAGGCAAAGCTTAATCCCGGGGAGGATTGGAATTACTTACGGCACTGCATATGCTTCTGCTAGTGCCAGGAAATCCTTTCCTTGAATTATATAACATTAACTATGTAACTGGGTAGGTTCCAAAGTCGTCGACCAACACCTGTATTATTCTCATTCCTGAAACCTAACCAGCAAAGTGTCCTTCGCCCAATCTTCCTCACTAGTTGTCTTTGTGTGTGTTGAGAGGGTGGTTCTAAACCGTTTCCTCTATAGAATTAGAAACTTGTTGTCTCCCTTGATATATGGCTTCACGCATAGAAAGAGTGTACATCACTGTATTACCGTCTTCCTCACCCTGCATACTGAAAGGTCATATAGCACTTTCCTAGATTTTAAGGCAGCCTTTGACATCGGTAACCGACACGTCATTCTGAGTATATACTTGCTATAATGAATGTTGACAGAAAGCGTCTACGATGGATAAGAGGCTGTCTATCCAACTGGACATCATCTGTACTGTTTACGTGGATGATATATTGATTGATAGCAATGGGTTCACCAATACCTAACACGTATTAAAACTCTATATCTGCTACACAGTTATATAATATATATATATATTGTTGAATATGACCGAAAGGGTAAGATTAATGATTCTAACATGAATCTTTTCAATATTTCTTATGTTTTTCATCACTGTGGAGGGAAGTTGAAAAATTTACTCTCCAAAGTTCATTTTCACAATTTATTATGGTCTGACACCTAGGGATGCGTTTTGCGCAAACGGATGCGTTTTCACTCCTTACATTTTCAAAGACAAATTTACCATGATGTTGTTGTTGTTTTAGATTTAGCTACTCAGAACGAAATGTCCATGTAGCACGGGCTATGGTGAGCCCGTAAATTCACCATGCTTTTGCAAAGGCTTATATTCGCTTGGGGTGAGGTGGTACAGGACGTGAATGAGATGAACAATTGGATGAAACATAATGGATAAATGGAAACATAATGGCTGAAGTTGAAACACATCTCAATTACGTCCTGTATCACCTCACCCCAAGCGAATATAAGCCTTTGCAAAAGTATGGTAAATTTGTCTTTGAAAATGTAAGGAGTGCCATGCGAAACGCATCCCCTAGGCGTCAGACCATAAATTGTGAAAATGAACATTGGAGAGTTAATTTTTCAACTTCCCTCGACAGCGAAGAAAAAGATAAGAAATATTGAGAAGATTCGAGTTAGAATCATTAATCTTACCCTTTCGGTAATATTCAACAACATATGTTTAATAATAAGAAAGACTGCTACCAAAATATACTAATATTAAGTATAAACACATATCAGGATCTCTGATATGTTCCACTGACATATTACTCTGTATTAAACACATATCAGGAACTAGGCTTAGACATTTCAGTAGAAAAAACGGAGATCCTGAATCGACGCCCACCCAGACGGGGTGGCGGACTAAAGAATTACTTACAGTTGCAAGTTGCAGGTGTATGATGGCTTTCTGCCTGACTATGTAACCAGATACAAGTACCTTGGTCGTGAGGTTCCACTGGACCGCCATGCTGTGGCTAGATTGGACCGTCAATATAAAGAGAGGCTCCGTGCTCTCAAGACAGGTTATCACCCCAGCTATGGCGCAAGTGTGAGAATTGCCAAAATGATGTATCTATCATATATTAAATCTCTGGTCGATTATGCTGCACCCATGCTTGCTCTATGCTTAGCGGACTTGCAAAGATGCAAAACGAAACTATGAGTATTATTTTCAGATGCTCCTCGTAAGACTAAATTACTTAACATGAGGGAAGATCACACCTTTCTCACCCAAGAAGCTCATTAAAGAAGAAGCCTTAAGCCAAATTGATGTGTATGTCAAAAACGCTCCCTCCCCAAAATTATTTACACTGATGGCTCTTTGCACCAGTCCTATGGTGCAGCTAGAAGTGCAGTTGTTGCGACAGCGTGAGTTGGCTCCTACTCTTGAGTGTGGAGCGCGGATAAATAACTGGGCCGCCACTCTTCAAACAGAATTGGTTGCCATAATGTTTGCACTCGAGCGTGTATATGAATCCAAAGTTGACACATTAATTGTAAGTGACTCCTTGTCGTCCTTGGCTGCCCTCATCTTCCCAAGGCATAACTGTGATATGCTAATTGTGTCTGAAGCTAGACACAGATACAGATGTTATAACACTGTAACACCACGGCTGCTACCACTGTAATACTGAGGACAACTGCTACCGTTGTCAACACTTATCATGGCAGAAAAACCAAGAGCCACTTGTCCTTAAAGTTAATTACCTTTGCCACCACCATCTCCGCGAAATGAAACTTGCCAACCATAGTTAATTACTTTAATTAAATTACTCTAATATCTCTTAATAATTATCTGTCAATAACTCATGGAGGAAAACCAATGGCCATACCTGGAACTGAATATCAGCTATCGTGGTATGTAAACTGTAGTGAAAATCCACGTAAATTGATCAACAATTATTCCTTAGTATTTGCAGAGATTAATTAAATATTCCTTGGAGAGTCATCAATGATCATAAAAGATGATCAAGGGCTGTAGCTGACTGGCCGATCATTATGAAAACCCAGACCGTTCATGATACTCAAAGATGGTAATTAACAGTAAGTTTATCTGTGCCAGTTATATCCAAGATAGAAAGAGTTCTACCAGCCTATGGAAATGAAAATGTTCAAAATGTTATGAAATGGTTACAGGCCTTCCTTTGCTGCTGATGGATTCAAATGAAGACTTGCTGGTAGGCCTGTGGCCCTCTGGGTGTTAACACTAGGCCTACCCTGTCCACGAATGACCAGGGATGGTTACGTCTCTCGACCACTATGACAATGTGAACCGACATGGGTTATTACCTGCTGCATGGCTGACAGCTTCTTCCCCGTATCTACCTACCCTGGCTTTGTGCCCTGGAGTGGTCACTCCAGACCGACAACCAGAGCGCAACTCATCAGTCTTCCGAGACTGATGGATGCGTGCTACTACTACCGACATTACTTGTTTGATATGATCATGCATGAATATGACGTAGTACAGTCGTTATTGGTAGGAACAGCAAGGAACACACAATTTTCTTAAACTTATTCTATTCTTGGAGCATCATAAATAATTAGATGGGCATTCAGTCCCGCTCTGGAAGCTTGAGGTCTAATTCGAGGCCTGGATGTTAGGTGACAGCTCCAAGTTTTCTAGTGAGGAGGGGACTGCTGGATGGTTAATGCTTCCAGCAGACGCCATTAATGACCGTTGGGTCATTACTTCCCAACGGCATTGCTAATGTTTCAACAAACCTAATCTATCCTACTCCAATTCAGCCTAACCCAACCCAGTCAAACATAACCCTACTTAACCTAGCGAAAATAGATCAAATTGTGTTCTATACATGGTGAGCAAGAGGTGTGACGTCACTATGACGTCATAATTTTAATCCCGGTACAAGTGTTAGACCCCAGGTGTTAGACCCCAGGTATTAGACCCCAGGTGTTAGACCCACACTGGTCTAAACACGCAGCAGAAACACTGGCCTCGGAGCCTGCACAAAGCAAGTGCAATAATGATTACACATGCAAGAATTATGTACAAAAATTAATTGTTTCAGTGATATGCATCTGATATGCTAAAAATTGCAATTAATCTCTGCGATATCGGCGCAGAGTGAAGATGTGCGTGAAGTCAACTGGCAACGACACCGAGGGGCCTGGGTAGCTCTCAAGGATCCCTGGGTAAACTCCTGAACAAAAACTCAATTGTCTTAGATGAAAGCGGCTTCATGGTGTTCCAAGAGACATTCTCGATCATAATATTTTGTCGGGATATAGAAACAGGGGAAACTGGTAAGTAGGTGACACATTGTACGTAATTATAGATAATCTTGCATATTTAATCTCCAATTTGCAATTGCAGCTCTCATCGCTTAGATTTAGAAACAATAAGAAAATATATACCGATAGTTTACCTTTGTCGTAGACTGTGTGCAGGACTACAGTAGACTTATTAGTTGATCGTTAGTTGTTATTAGTTAGCGACTTGTTAGTTAGCTGTTGTTGTGGCCTTAATGACCATCCAGCGGTTGATAGGCCTGGAGCTCAACTCCACACCAACTCCAGTCCAACTCCAGACCATCTCCAGGCCAACTCCAGACCATCTCCAGGCCAACTCCAGACCATCTCCAGGCCAACTCCAGACCATCTCCAGGCCAACTCCAGACCAACTCCAGTCCAACTCCAGACCATCTCCAGGCCAACTCCAGACCATCTCCAGGCCAACTCCAGACCATCTCCAGGCCAACTCCAGACCATCTCCAGGCCAACTCCAGACCATCTCCAGGCCAACTCCAGACCATCTCCAGGCCAACTCCAGACCATCTCCAGGCCAACTCCAGACCATCTCCAGGCCAACTCCAGACCATCTCCAGGCCAACTCCAGACCAACTCCAGGCCAACTCCAGACCATCTCCAGGCCAACTCCAGGCCAACTCCAGGCCAACTCCAGACCATCTCCAGGCCAACTCCAGACCAACTCCAGTCCAACTCCAGACCATCTCCAGGCCAACTCCAGACCAACTCCAGTCCAACTCCAGACCATCTCCAGGCCAACTCCAGACCATCTCCAGGCCAACTCCAGACCATCTCCAGGCCAACTCCAGACCATCTCCAGGCCAACTCCAGGCCAACTATAGGCCAACTCCAGGCCAACTCCAGGCCAACTATAGGCCAACTCCAGCCCTACTCCAGGCCAACTCCAGGCCAACTATAGGCCAACTCCAGCCCTACTCCAGGCCAACTCTTAGCTCCTCCCTTGTACTGTTGTTATGGAAGTTGTTTACTGACAGAACGCCTCCTCCATCCTTCAGAAGGTGGAACACCGCAATCACACACACGAGTACATCAAGCTGTAGCTGGCTGGATTGCTGTTGCTGACTTGCTGTTGCTGGCTTACTGTTGCTGGCTTACTTGCTGTTGCTGGCTTACTGTTGCTGACTGGCTTACTGTTGCTGGCTTGCTGTTGCTGGATTACTGTAATGGATTATTGTTCAGACAACTAGTCATGGGAGGTGGGATTATTGAATAATGTCCGTTCACTCGGCCTCCACCGGCGGGGTGGGGGGGGGCTGTTGCAGTGTCATCATTTACAGGTTAGCGTCGTTAGGCGTCATTCTGGCTAATGTCATATGACAAAGCTGTTCGTCAACATACTTACCTTCTCAGATTATGAATGGGTCGACCCTCGCTGTACAATTTGAGAAGCGTCACGACGGAGCCCAGACCCACGTTGCTGGGACCACGACGGAGCCCGGACCTACGTTGCTGGGACCACGACGGAGCCCGGACCTACGTTGCTGGGATCACGACGGAGCCCGGACCTTCGTTGCTGGGACCACGACGGAGCCCGGACCCACGTTGCTGGGACCACGACGGAGCCCGGACCTGCGTTGCTGTGACCACGACGGAGCCCGGACCCACGTTGCTGGGACCACGACGGAGCCCGGACCCACGTTGCTGGGACCACGACGGAGCCCGGACCCTCGTTGCTGGGACCACGACGGAGCCCGGACCCACGTTGCTGGGACCACGACGTAGCCCGGACCTACGTTGCTGGGACCACGACGTAGCCCGGACCTACGTTGCTGGGACCACGACGTAGCCCGGACCTACGTTGCTGTGACCACGACGGAGCCCGGACCTACGTTGCTGTGACCACGACGGAGCCCGGACCTACGTTGCTGTGACTAGCTTATGGACTCTGTGCTCGAGTGAGCTCCTCCGGGGCTTTAGAGAGGTGCTCTTTGACTCTGAAATACCAACTGTGAATGGCTTTGAGTTGAACATAATGATCGCGCGGTTGCACAGAAAGGCTCATGGAGGCGAGGCTGTGAAATCGTAAGATAATATCTAGTTAAGAAATGTACAAAGTTGATCCCATTTGTAACTCAGTTACTGCAAGCACGTCTAGAACTGTTTGGGTACTATAGTGGGCATAATGTGGTGACAAAACTAGACAAGCATCAAGATGAGAGTTGATTTTATTTGTCGATGTTTTTGCTTGCCATCTATAGAGTTCGTCTCGGCATCGAGTTTTTCCCATGTTGAATTTTCTTGTTAGTTCTTTCAGCGAGGTCGTTACTGACTGGTGAGTTCGCTGTGTTAGGCTTTTGATGTCGCACAGCATAACCAGTCCTTCCAGAGTGGTATCTCGCGATGCTGAGGCACCTTGTGTTGGTGGTGGTGCACCTTGTGTTGTTGGTGCACCGTGTGTTGTTGGTGCACCTTGTGTTGTTGGTGCACCTTGTGTTGTTGGTGCACCTTGTGTTGTTGGTGCACCTTGTGTTGTTGGTGCATCTTGTGTTGGTGGTGCACCTTGTGTTGTTGGTGCATCTTGTGTTGTTGGTGCACCTTGTGTTGTTGGTGCACCTTGTGTTGTTGGTGCATCTTGTGTTGGTGGTGCACCTTGTGTTGTTGGTGCATCTTGTGTTGTTGGTGCACCTTGTGTTGGTGGTGGTGCACCTTGTGTTGATGGTGCACCTTGTGTTGTTGGTGCACCTTGTGTTGTTGGTGCATCTTGTGTTGGTGGTGCACCTTGTGTTGTTGGTGCATCTTGTGTTGGTGGTGCACCATGTATTGGTGGTGTACATTGTGTTGGTGGTGCACCTTGTGTTGTTGGTGCACCTCGTGTTGGTGGTGCACCTCGTGTTGGTGGTGCACCTTGTGTTGTTGGTGGTGCACCTTGTGTTGTTGGTGCACCTTGTGTTGGTGGTGGTGCACCTTGTGTTGTTAGTGGTGCACCTTGTGTTGTTAGTGGTGCACCTTGTGTTGTTGGTGCACCTTGTGTTGTTGGTGCACCTTGTGTTGGTGGTGCACCTTGTGTTGGTGGTGCACCTCGTGTTGTTGGTGGTGCACCTTGTGTTGGTGGTGGTGCACCTTGTGTTGTTAGTGGTGCACCTTGTGTTGTTGGTGCACCTTGTGTTGTTGGTGCACCTTGTGTTGGTGGTGCACCTTGTGTTGGTGGTGCACCTCGTGTTGTTGGTGGTGCACCTTGTGTTGGTGGTGGTGCACCTTGTGTTGTTGGTGGTGCACCTTGTGTTGTTGGTGCACCTTGTGTTGTTGGTGCATCTTGTGTTGGTGGTGCACCTTGTGTTGTTGGTGCATCTTGTGTTGGTGGTGCATCTTGTGTTGGTGGTGCACCTTGTGTTGGTGGTGCACCTCGTGTTGTTGGTGCACCTCGTGTTGGTGGTGCACCTTGTGTTGTTGGTGGTGCACCTTGTGTTGGTGGTGCACCTTGTGTTGGTGGTGCACCTTGTGTTGTTGGTGCATCTTGTGTTGGTGGTGCACCTTGTGTTGGTGTACATCATGTTGGTGGTGCACCTTGTGTTGTTGGTGCACCTTGTGTTGTTGGTGGTGCACTTTGTGTTGGTGGTGCACCTTGTATTGTTGGTGATGCACCTTGTGTTGGTGGTGCACCTTGTATTGTTGGTGATGCACCTTGTGTTGGTGGTGGTGCACCTTGTGTTGGTGATGCACCTTGTGTTAGTGGTGGTGCACCTTGTGTTGGTGGTGGTGCACCTTGTGTTGGTGGTGTACATCGTGTTGGTGGTGCACCTTGTGTTGGTGGTGGTGTACATCGTGTTGGTGGTGCACCTTGTGTTGGTGGTGCACCTTGTGTTGGTGGTGCACCTCGTGTTGGTGGTGGTGCACCTTGTGTTGGTGGTGCACCTTGTGTTGGTGGTGCACCTTGTGTTGGTGGTGCACCTTGTGTTGGTGGTGCACCTTGTGTTGGTGGTGCACCTTGTGTTGGTGGTGCACCTTGTGTTGTTGGTGCACCTCGTGTTGGTGGTGGTGCACCTCGTGTTGGTGGTGGTGCACCTTGTGTTGGTGGTGCACCTTGTGTTGTTGGTGCACCTTGTGTTGGTGGTGCACCTTGTGTTGTTGGTACACCTTGTATTGTTGGTGCACCTTGTGTTGTTGGTGCACCTTGTGTTGTTGGTGCACCTTGTGTTGGTGGTGCACCTTGTGTTGGTGGTGCACCTTGTGTTGGTGGTGCACCTTGTGTTGTTGGTGGTGCACCTTGTGTTGGTGGTGCACCTTGTGTTGTTGGTGGTGCACCTTGTGTTGGTGGTGCACCTTGTGTTGTTGGTGCACCTTGTGTTGGTGGTGCACCTTGTGTTGGTGGTGCACCTTGTGTTGGTGGTGCACCTTGTGTTGGTGGTGCACCTTGTGTTGCACCTTGTGTTGGTGGTGCACCTTGTGTTGGTGGTGCACCTTGTGTTGGTGGTGCACCTTGTGTTGGTGGTGCACCTTGTGTTGGTGGTGCACCTTGTGTTGTTGGTGGTGCACCTTGTGTTGGTGGTGCACCTTGTGTTGTTGGTGCACCTTGTGCACCTTGTGTTGTTGGGTGCACCTTGTGTTGGTGGTGCACCTCGTGTGCACCTTGTGTTGGTGGTGCACCTGGTGTTGGTGGTGCACCTTGTGTTGGTGGTGCACCTTGTGTTGGTGGTGCACCTTGTGTTGGTGGTGCACCTTGTGTTGTTGGTGGTGCACCTTGTGTTGTTGGTGCACCTTGTGTTGTTGGTGCACCTTGTGTTGGTGGTGCACCTTGTGTTGGTGGTGCACCTTGTGTTGGTGGTGGTGCACCTTGTGTTGGTGGTGCACCTTGTGTTGTGTTGTTGGTGCACCTTGTGTTGTTGGTGCACCTTGTGTTGTTGGTGCACCTTGTGTTGGTGGTGCACCTTGTGTTGTTGGTGCACCTTGTGTTGTGTGCACCTGTTGGTGGTGCACCTTGTGTTGTTGGTGCACCTTGTGTTGTTGGTGCACCTTGTGTTGGTGGTGCACCTTGTGTTGGTGGTGCACCTTGTGTTGGTGGTGCACCTTGTGTTGGTGGTGGTGCACCTTGTGTTGTTGGTGCACCTTGTGTTGTTGTGTTGTGGTGCACCTTGTGTTGTTGGTGCACCTTGTGTTGGTGGTGCACCTTGTGTTGTTGGTGCACCTTGTGTTGGTGGTGCACCTTGTGTTGTTGGTGCACCTTGTGTTGTTGGTGCACCTTGTGTTGGTGGTGCACCTTGTGTTGGTGGTGCACCTTGTGTTGGTGGTGCACCTTGTGTTGGTGGTGCACCTTGTGTTGTTGGTGCACCTTGTGTTGGTGGTGGTGCACCTTGTGTTGTTGGTGCACCTTGTGTTGTTGGTGCACCTTGTGTTGTTGTGTTGGTGGTGGTGCACCTTGTGTTGGTGGTGCACCTTGTGTTGGTGGTGCACCTTGTGTTGTTGGTGCACCTTGTGTTGGTGGTGCACCTTGTGTTGGTGGTGCACCTTGTGTTGTTGGTGCACCTTGTGTTGGTGGTGCACCTTGTGTTGTTGGTGCACCTTGTGTTGGTGGTGCACCTTGTGTTGGTGGTGCACCTTGTGTTGGTGGTGGTTGGTGGTGCACATTGTGTTGTTGGTGCACCTTGTGTTGGTGGTGCACCTTGTGTTGGTGGTGCACCTTGTGTTGTTGGTGGTGCACCTTGTGTTGGTGGTGCACCTTGTGTTGGTGGTGCACCTTGTGTTGGTGGTGCACCTTGTGTTGGTGGTGCACCTTGTGTTGGTGGTGGGCACCTTGTGTTGGTGGTGCACCTTGTGTTGTGGTTGTGCACCTTGTGTTGGTGGTGCACCTTGTGTTGGTGGTGCACCTTGTGTTGGTGGTGCACCT